TCCAGCGAGTGCCCATGCCCTACAGGAAAAACTCTCTAAAAATTAAAAAAAAAGAGAGAGAACAGCTGAAACACCACACGTCTGTTCATTTAAGACCAGCTGGCCACTGCAACATCTGAAGACATCAGGTTGAACCTTGAAACCATGAAAGCAAAGTGCAATGATCAAGTAACTGCTTGTTATGACCAGAAATCTAACATCAACGCTCTTCTCTTCCATTCGCCAAAGTCCTTCTATCAGTTTAGACAGAAATGCTAACTTTCTCTCAGCCAGAATTCTTCTATCAGTTAAGATTGAAATATAACCTTTCCCTCCTCCCACACACCATTAAAATCAGTACCAGGGCTGGTGATTTCTCAGCTGAACCATAATTTTCTCTTGTTATTCAGAATAAACTCTCTGAAGCTAAAACTCACAGCCATTTTTTCCAACTCTAAGATTTTACAAGGTGGCAAACGAGTTGGATAAAAAGGCCTCAATAAGAACCAGAAATGGGGGAGACCAGGAGGTTGTCCTGGGAGGTGACTGCCCGGTACAGCTGGCCGGAGCCAGCCCTCAGGGTGAGCGCTGCCTGCTTGGTAATTGCTTCATTACAAGTGGAGACTGTTTGCAGGCGCTCAGATCACTCACTTGTGGGGGTTTTATTGCACTCGTCAGATTAACAAACATTTTTGATTAAATCACCACTTCATTGGCTCCGAGCACACGACTTTTAATAAGAGGACAATATTCACTGCTCCTGAGCATCAGTGCACATTCAATACTCAGACCCGCTGGGGGCAACGGAGGAGCAAGGTGGAGAGACAGCCAGCTGTCAGGCGTTTTCCAAGTCACAGTTACAGACCTCAGATCTTCAAATATCCAGGCAAAAAGAACCTTAGGCACCAAGATGGCAAATAGAAGGAAGTGATAGGGGGTTACAAAAATGGGAGATGCTGGGACCAGCAGTGGGAGTAAAGGCTATGTTGCTGGATCCCCATGTAGTCAACTGTGGTTTGAGTCCCGGATCCAATGGCTTAAACTCACGCCAGGCGCGTGTGCATGCATGCCCAAGATCCTGAGAGGAGAATGGAGGAGAAGGGATTGTGGCGTGGCCATCCCCCTTGGGGAGGGTGATTTCTTGCTTTCTGTCTCTCTGTCTCTGTCTTTCTGGCGAGCGCATGCGCCCTAT